AGCAGCTCCCTCGGCGATCTGCAATGAGCTGATCCTGATGATCCAGTGAAGGGTCACGGCACCAGTGTAACGGTATGTGTTACTGGAGAGCTCGCATTAAAAGGATGGACACACAGAAAACGGCTGACTCAATGGCTTCCCTCTCTGCCTGTGTCTTTATTGTGCCTGCATACACACATACACAATCCGTTTCAACATTATGTTTGCTGCAACTGCCCATAGCTCTATAAAAGTGAGAAAAGGAAAGGAAAACAGAAGTTTAAACACATTGTCTAGCTCATTCCCCAAATGGCGCCAAAAACCGATGCCGTCTGCATAGAACACCGCCGGTACTTCCATCGGGAATTAAAGTATTAAATTCGGTTAAATATGCGCTAACTTGTCCATAACGCAGCACATAAACGCTATGACTGTTATTACAGATGATGCTTGCAAACATTCATCTCAGAAGTACATATAGCTTCATAAAATATGAGATTATTCACAGAGCTTTTTCTATACAACTTACCTCCAGCATAGTGCAAAGCGCTGCTGGGGGTAAGGGAAGCGCGAAGGGACAAAATTAACAGAAAACGTGAGCTTTGGCAGTTGCACGCATGTCAGCAGGGAATTGTAGTCCAAACTAGCACATTGAACTTGTATGTAGTATTAACATAGCAAGAATCAGTATGTGAAAAATGAAATATAAAACAACAATTTAGCTCAAAGTAACAAGAAATATATAACAAAAATGATTTCTTACGAACAATAATTTTGGACTAAGGACTACAATTATTATTATTATTATTAATTCTTTTCTTTTTGTTTTAGCTCTGTTACATATATATTAGGGGTGCGGGAAAAAATTGATTCTTAGATGCATCGCGATGCGGACGTGAGCGATTCTGAATCGATTCATAAATGTCAATAAACGATTTTCTATATATTTAATTTATAACCTAATGTTCACAGAATGCAAAAAGCGGAACTGGAAGTGGGTATGTGCAGCGCCCGGACAGTCTGTTGCGGCACATAACAAAAACACAACTGGACGAGTGAGAAATCCGACCGGCTCCCTCTGCATTAAAGCCAGGTTAGTTCAGGAGTCACAGCCCAAATGTTTAGAAGAGCCATTTTGCCTTTCAACAAAGTCAAACCACCTTGGGAGCCGCAACATTTAATGTCCAGTATGTCTCAATGGCTGTGTTTACATGCAAAGATTTTTGCCAATCCGATTGAATACAATCCGATTACAGATTCAGACTGAGGTGTTTATATGCACACTCTATTCAACGATTTGATGGAAAATCTTCGTTTACATGCTCACTACAAGTAATCCGATGCAAAATGACGCGCATGCGTGGAGTAGCGTTTAGAGTAAACGTTGCCATGACAGCGAACATCACGTGAGGTCCAGTCCGCGTGATATGAGTTTCCAGTTGGCGCGCTTGTGTTTTAATTGCTTTAAAATGATGTCAGACTCGGGAAAACGTGCTTCACATGTGCTTATAAAGGAAGCGGCGAGAGGAAGACGTCGTGTTCTGAGACTCATAAGCTAGACGTTCGTCCCACCGCCGTCTTTTAAAGCTCAGAGCATAAACTTTGTCTCCTCTGCAGACCCGTTTCTGCTCCGCCATGCTGAACGGTATAAACTTTCGCCTTGACGCGACGCACATGCGCAGAGCATACTTACACGTTCCGATTGGAATGTAATCGGATTCAGGCGTTTACATGGCTATTATTCTTCTATTTAACGGATTATTTAGAAGTTTACCCACCTCGTTCAATCGGATAGAAATTGTATTCCGAATGGCCTCAATCGGACTAGTCTGTTCCGATTGAGGTGTTTACATGGATGTGTTCTATTCCGATTGAGCTATTAGTCGGATTATTAACGGATTATCAGGCTGCATGTAAACGTGGCTAGTGTGTGTAATGTCCTAGTATGGGCTAAAAATATAAATGAGAGCGCAGATTTACTTCACTCTGCTTTAAGCTTTAGCTATAGCCGCTTTCCTTCCATCTCCGCCAGAAAAGTTTTCTTCAAAACTAGAAGAGTTTCTTGTAAAATGTCTCAGCATCCGGCTGTTTTACGAGGCTGAAGTCGCTTCTCATTCGCCAGTTTCTCGTTCTAAAAAGGTGGAACGGGAAAATTCGAAAGAGAAGCGAGTTCATTTTCGCAACTTTTTAAAGGAAGACAGTCTCTCAGCAGATTTAACCAACCGCGCTGCATATAAATGCGAATAGTCCTCTAAATGTTCGTCTTAATCTGTTTTTTCGTTCGCTACTGGCGAGGCCAGACCTCGGGGCTATGTGACCTGCTGTCTGCTGTCTGTTCTCAGTCGTTGAGAACCAGGGCTTTCGCGCTATGCTGCGCACTTTGGAACCGAGATTCAGCGTCCAGTCTCGAAAACACACAACACACACACACACACACACACACACACACACACACACACACATTCTCTACAACGAGACCAACACCTAAGTTATAAAATGACTAAAGAAAACGGGAAGGACGGCTGTAACGCGCTGCGTGGACACCCATTACCACTGGATCTTATTTCAGGGCAACAGCGCATTTTATCGCAGATGAGTGGCAGCAGCGTCTCTGAATGAGAGCCTTCTAGTTCACTTGCCACATCAGTTCCATTTGATTTATTAATAAAAGATATTTTAGATATTTAAAGCAAAGTATTTGTAATGATCCGTAATGCATTTACATTACGGATCATTACAAATACTTTGCTTTAAAACTACCAAGTCCTCAGACAGTGGGAAGATGGAAATCCTGTATAGAGAAAAAAGATGCATCAAGATGCATCGATAATCGTTTTATAATCGCATCGCAGCCCTCTGAATCGTAATCGAATCCAATCGTGAGGTGCCTAAAGATTCCTACCCCTAATGTATGTATATATATATATATATATATATATATATATATATATATGTATTTTTTTTTACACATGGGCTGCTTAGCTCAGTTTGCCAGTGGGCAGCTGTGCCATATCTCTGCTAGAAGTGAACCAGATCTGTCTTGGGACATGTGGACCATATGAGGTTTTTTTTTTCTTCTATGTGGGCCACATTTGGTTCACATTCAGTTTGCCAGTAGGTAACACTGCCATATCTCTGCCAAGAGTGGACCAGACCTGTTTTGGGAAATGTGGGCCAATTATTTTTTTTTACATGTGGGCCACTTTTAGGTCACAGTTTGCCTGTAGGTAGCACTGCTGTGCCAGAAGTGGACCGGGTATGTGGGATTTTTTTTACATGTGGACACTTTTGGCTCACATTCATTTTGCCAGTAGTTAGCAGTGCCATGTCTCTACCACAAGTGGACCAGATCTGTTTTGGGACGTGTGGGCTCGCGGCACTTTCACATTTGGGATGAAGACCCACATAGCAAGCACCTATCGCTCCACTGGCATGATAAGGTTGGTACCACGCTGACTGTTTGCTACTGCTTGTGCACCCTCGGACCACCTAGATTATTATCCTGCATACAAGCTCTAGCTAGATTGTATTCTCCTCAAACAAATTTACATGAACACAGCCTTTTATTTTAGAAAATAAACATACACAAATATTACTAACGACTGACACAAAAAAATATAATGACTAGACCCTATTACATATTGTTACTGACACTATGCTAGTGTCACGCTTCCCTCCATTCCTGCTGTCTCTGCGTCCCAGCCTCTGAATTCCATTACCCAGAACCCCAATCCGGATCACATGACCACCGATCTCCCTCACCTGACTCTCCAACACTCTGCCTCGCCTCACTACTGATTACACACACCTGTTTCCTTGTTCTAAGGACCTGTTAGAGTAGTATACAAGCCCAGGTTTTAGCTTAGTCATCTTGCGAAGTATTGCCTTTGTTCACAGAGCCTTACCGAGCCTTCTATTTGATTATTTATTGCTTTGATTGTTCTTCAACCTTGCCTTTTTGCCTTGCCCTTTCAGTATTGTTGCGCCTGCTGGTTTGGACTCTGTTTCTGTTTTTGGACATTGCTTTTTGAACCCCCCTCATGGTTACTGTTTTTGTGTGTTGGCTTTTGACCTTGGACTGTCTGACTTTGATTTCAGATTCTCCCTTTGTCAATAATCTCTATTTACTTAAACGTGGTCTGCAAGCATCTGAATTGTGTCTGAGACTCACAGCTAGATTAAAACAGTTTACTAAACTACATTAAAAAGCATAACTAAAGAAAGGAAGAAAGAGAAAAAAAGTAATGTGGGCCTGTAATTGTAAAATGAGCAATGATAAGTGGATTTTTGTCTAATACTCTGATTAACCATGCATAGATCCCCTGGAAAATGATGAGCATGCTGCCAGTTGACTGCCAGTTTTGCCTGCAAAGCTGCAATCCCACCTCAGATAACCTTACAGTAGAGGGCCGCCTTAAAGAGCTTATCACTACAAAATTCATCTGCAAGCTAAGGAGGTAATGGTGACCTAAAATCTTTTGACTTGTGATATGAAAATGTATGACACCACACATCATGGCTTCCAGTTGGATGGTATGTCAAATATAATAACTGCAGTTTCTGAGTGTCCTTGCTTTTTCCATACTCTAATATTTCACATTATATTATGACTTGCAGAGACTAACTAATTATACACGTCTCTCAGCTTCTCCATCAGGGTCCCATTTGTATATCAGAGTCAAAATCATTGATGCATTTGGTCAGTGGTAGTGCTTTGTAAAGAGAGTAAATCTATGTGAGATGGTTTTTATTCCATTTGAATAATGTCCCTAAAATGTGTTTACAAGTGAAATGGACTAACGACATTACACTAGATAAAATGAGTAAAATATTTGATAAGTAAAAAATATCTAGAAACAACTTTTTGTTACTGCCGAGTTTATCTCTTGAGATTGCTCGTGTACTTGTGCTAAATTCACTTAAATATATAGACACTCAGTGTTACAACAGCTGCAATTTTTGCTAAAGATGCATTTATTTGGAGATGTGCATCACTGTTATTCGCCATTAGCAGTGGAGAACGGACTTTCTGCTGAGTGCGCTGACTCAGTACTATTTTGTATAAATATACAATGGGCTTAATGTTCTATTAGTTGATCTTTGTCTTTACTGCAAGTTAAAGTTGCAAAAGTTAATTTCTTATTACTTGAGAAAAAAGAAACAAAACAACACTCAAGTTTGTCTACTGAATTGTGCTTTTTACCAATGCATCTGTTACCAAATAACTCTATGGCCCGGAAAAACATATTTTATGAAGTTTTCCAAGAAGAAGAACATCACAATATTGAACAAACATGAAATTCATATTTTAAAACCTGCAATGTGTTGGCACTGGTTTAAATTATGATGTGTTTATGGGTACTAAATACTAAAAAGACTCTAGCTTTAAAAACAGTAATGAATATAAGAACATTTCAAAACATGTTATTTTCATTGGTCCCATAATCATAAAATGTCACTCTTGAACAAAGACAACAAAGAACAAAAGAGTACCTATAAATGAACTATAGCCAAAATCAATTTCTTACTTCAGTTGTCTTTTCACTCTATCGACTTTGTTTTTCTGTTTTGTTGGGGAAACCTTCTTACGGATAAAGAAAATAAGATTCTGTTGAATTTCTTTTGTTTTCAGTCCATATATTAGAGGATTAATTATAGGAGGAAATATCATCACAGAAGCTCCTAAGGCCCTTCGTAGGTTTTGGGGTGCTGACTCAAATCTGTGAGCTATCAAAGCAAAGAGTGTGGTGAATTCAAAACAAAGGAAAACAATTAAATGTGTACCACAGGTCTGAATTGCCTTGCTTTTGGCATCAGATTGTCTTTTAACCACAACAGTGATTAAGATTTGCATGTATGTTAATACCACTATCAGCAGAGGCAGACCTTGGATAAAAGCTGTTACAAACAGTCCATAGTAGTTATTTAACTTTGTATCTCCACATACAAGCTTCATCAAAGACGGATTATTGCAGAAAATGTCCACTATTTTTGTGCTACAAATCTCTTTGCGGTAGTTCAGTGCAAGTAGTAAACCAATCAAAGTAAAATCTAATGTCCACATTATTATTATTATTTTCAGCAAGTTGTTTGGAGACATCACGTTGTTATATTTCAATGGACAGCAAATGGCAATATATCTGTCATAAGCCATAGCAGTGAGAATGAGAAATGCTCCAGCTCCATACAGATGTACCAGTAAGGCTTGCACAAAACATGCAGAGTAAGTGATGGATCTATTCTGTGACAGTAAACTAGATACCAGCTGAGGAAAAAAGGCTGAGGCACCCATCATATCACTGAGTGGCAAGTTAAACAACAGAATATACATAGGCTTATGGAGTTTCCTGTTCAAAGCAATAGTTAGTAACACAGTCATATTTAAAAACAAAATGGTGCAGTAAGTGAGAGTTCCAAATATGAATGCTGGAAAAATATTAGATGGTAGTATTTCCAGTGATTCCATCATCAAAGATGTTGTATATATGGAATAATTTAAATCCATTATGTTTGTTTTATTTTATAAAATGATAGAGAACAAAAGAATGAATTATTCAGAAAAAAACTGACTCCCATACAGTTTCACAGTTTGGCTGATCCTTTAAGTAGTTAAAAAGATTGCTTACCCAGAAAAAAACCCACATGCCAAAATCTCAACAAAATAATTAGCTAAAATGAAGAATCTGTGAGATCACAAGTTTAACAGTGTATTTGAGGAAAGTCTCACATGTCCCTCTGTTCAGCTGCGTAAATATGCAGGCATTAAGCCTTGCATGGTATTTTTATACACTTTTTTATACACACAAGTCCTTTCCAAATCCCAAATGATCACTTTTCAGTTCCATGGCTCTGGGGGAGGAGCCCATCTAAGGCTGTTGAATTCCATGCCTTAAATTTTGTTGTTGAAAGAGAGAATCAAGAGAAGCAGCTTCTCTAAAGCAGTTTCTCTCTTTACTATGTTCAATGGACCTTGTGACTTGTGAGACACTAGCAGTGCCCCTTGTTCAAGATGTAAATTATACTCTCTAGTCTGAAACATGTCCCAATCAATTTTTTGGTAATACTTTTTTTTTTTAAGTGGTGCTTTGTCGATGATGAATAAACCCTTAATAGAACATCAGTAACCTATCAACAACAAGTCAGTGAATTAGCAGTAGTGAAGCATCCAAATACATTGAAGTAAATATTTTGAAGATGTACTGTTGATACATTACTTACATTAAGTGGATGTATTGTTGATGTGTTACATGAAGTAGACTTAGTGTGTTATTCCATTAAGCAAAACCAAAGCTTACCCAACCTTACACAAATCCTAACCCTCCCCCTGGCCCTAATCCTCAACCTATCCTTGCCTTCAACCTAAAACCTAATTCTAACCCTCACTCTGGCTCTAATCCTAAACCTAACTTTCTAACACTCACTCTGGCTCTAACCCTCAACCCTAAACCTAACCTTAACCTGAACCCAAAACCTGATCCTTAACTATCATCCTGGCCCTAATCCTAACCCTAAATTCACCCATAACCTAGTCCAGTTAAGCTCCAAACCCAAGCTGGACAACAAATTGGAGCTGAATAACACTCAGGATGTGCAGACAGGCTTAAAAGACATTACTGGCGTCAACCACCGGAGCCCTAATCCAGCAGATGTTAAGCGCAAAAGGGCGAATGAGTTAAACAAATTCTTTGTACGATTTGACTCTCCAGCTCTATTATCTCAGTCTCCTACGCAGATCAAAATATCTGCACAACATTGCCACTGGCCATTTATAGCCTCCCCCTCCTCCAGCACAATCGTTCAAACCTATGACCACCAGCAACCGCTGTCTGTAACATACACCCACAATTGGAATGACCAGAGATAGTACATTCGCTGCTGATCAGGTGAAGAATTAATTGAAAAAACTCAAACAGAACAAAGCAGCAGGGCCTGATGGCACTGAATCTAGGGAGGGGAGTAACTGTGTGGAATTCTTCAGCACATCTTTAATCTGAGCTGCAGCTTGAAAAGAGTCCCAATTATGTGGAAAACATCTTGGGTTCCTGTGCCCAAGAAAAAGCTACTGATAGCACTAAATAACAATCGACCTGTTGCACTGACTCCTGAAAAGCTAATACTTATCTGAGACCTCTGGTCAAACCAGCTCTTGACTCTTTGCAGTTTGCATATCAGGATGGCACTGGAGTGGATGATGTGGTTATCTTCCTTCTGGACAGAACACACCTTACTTGGACATCTCAAGCACATATTGGTCAACTGGCAAAATAAAATCAGTACCCCACTGACTGTTTGCTATTGCTTGTGCACCCTGGGACTACCTAGACTATTGTCCTGCATACCAGCTCTATACTATTGCTATCAGGGGAGGCACTTGAAGCCCTTTCACATTCAGAATGAAGTCACGATCGGGGCACTTTCACATTTGAAATGAAAACCCAGATAGCAAGCATATATTGGTCCACGGGCATAGATTATTGTCCTACACACAAGCTAGTTTTTAATCTCCCCAAACAAATTTCAAATACACATAGCCTTTCGGGTGTGAGGTTGTTTAGTTGGGTTGAGTTTCTGCCACAGAGAGGAATCCGATGTAACAGTGTACAATAGTTATATTAATGTTATGTTATGAAATTCCTGCTAAATGGGTTTGGCGTATTACAGCTCCTATATGTATTGGTGATTCGGCGCAGCCTCGGCAGTAGAGCGTTTGCACGCTGCCGTGGTGAGTACAGCTTCATATGTTCAGCTCAGCAAAACTGCAAATATCTTTGTAAAGTGTTGTAATATTCGACTTTTGTCCCTACTGTCTTGAAATACACGTAATAGAGACCAGTATACCCAGTTGGGCTGTTTCAGAACGCTTTATTTAAAGAGTTATAAATTTGAAGCTAAACCTGAACTGAACTGTGCTAACGTTAGCCTGTTTCTTTAGTTGTATGCTGGCGGAAGCACGAACAGAGACCTAAACTGTGGTTGCCGTACTCATTACAGGTATGTTATATTCAAGTTTTAATGTGTATTAGAACAGTGTCAATGAGCACAGCAATGCTAGCTGGTTTAACTAGCTCACTCTCAGCTGCACCATGTGGTCTGGATGCCGTATTTTGGGTTCGCCACCAGATGGCATTATTTCATATTTTACTTTCTGTTGATGTTCCACTAATTAAAAAAAGGATGATGTAGCTATAAAATATAATTCATATTGACACTGATGGAATTGTAAAATGTAGACTATAAATCTAAAAACTGAACATAATATGGAAACACAAGCACTTTTACCACTATACGATCATAGAAATTTGTAAAGGTAATTGTATTATTTTCATGAATGTATCTCTCTCATGTCATTGGTTTATTTTGGAAATACATTTAGACCAATGTATTCTTTGGGCAGTAGAACGTTCGCACGCTGCCGTGGAGGCAAATAAAACCTCATCATCCCAATTTGGTGTCCATCATTGACCAGGGCGGACGAACACCCGATAGGAAGGGTCACATATATATATATATATATACACACATTTATTTAAAAACTCCAGCAGCACTGCTGTGTCTGATCCACTCAGACCAGCGCAACACACACTAACACACCACCACCACGTCAGTGTTACTGCAGTGCTGAGAATGATCCACCACCCAAATAGAACCTGCTCTGTGAGGCTCCATGGGGGTCCTGACCACTGAAGAACAGGGTGAAAGGCTAACAAAGTATGCAGAGAAACAGAGGGACTACAGTCAGTAATTGTAGAAACCTGTATCCAATGGTAAGTAAAAAAAAAAAAAACTCATTTGGCTCAATGGGTAGAATAGACAAAAATAATAATAAAATTCTTGTTAAAATGTTAAACTTATTTTTGGGTGGGGTTGGGGGGCTGGTTTTAATCAAATACTACAAATTCTATTTGAATAATTTTGTGAATAATAAATGAAATGCCCAGTAGCAGGTCTGCTTCTGTAAGAAATAAACTTGGAAACACAGTCAGATGGAGTGCCTTTTTGTCTGTGACCATACCCCTCCATTTCCCACCAAGACACGTGCATTTCTTACATAACTGCTTAGAAATCATGCCTGTAACTGTACATCATGAACAAGGTGTGCTCCTGTATTGTAAGCCCTAAGTTCCCTTGAGTATAGGAAGTGGAAACTGCTTTAGAGAAACTGTATCTGCTGATTCTGTCCTTCAACTAAAATGTAAATGATATGGAAATTACCAGCCTCAGCATGGAGTGGTACTGTGGTACAGAGCCATGGTAGCGAGAGGTGATCTGTTGGGATTTGGAAAGGACATACCTCTAATATTGTATAAAAATGCCATGCAAGCTGAAACTGCTGCACATTGTCATGTGTAAAATTATGGACATCTCAGAGTTTTCTCATATACACTGTTAAACGTTCTGTCCAATTCTCTCTAAGATTGTCCATTTCACTTAATATGTCCAGAGATTTTGACATGCCAAAAAAAGATTTTTTCTAGGTGAGCAAAACAAAGGAAATAAGTACATAATGGATTCTAATTTCTCCATATATACAACATCTTTGACTTTGGAATCACTGGATATAACTCCATCTAATATTTTCCCAGCATTTATATTTGGAACTCTCACATATTGTGCCATTTTGGTTTTCAATATGACTGTGTTGCTAACAATTGCTCTGAATCGGAAACTTCATAAGCCTATGTATGTTCTGCTGTTTAACTTGCCACTCAATGATATGATGGGTGCCTCAGCCTTTTTCCCTCAGCTGGTGGCTAGTATGCTGTCACAGAATAGATCCATCACTTACTCTGCTTGTTTTGTGCAAGCTTTACTGATTCATCTGTATGGAGCTGGAACATTTCTCACTCTCACTGCTATGGCTTATGACAGATATGTTGCCATTTGTTGTCCATTGAAATATAACACCTTGATGTCTCCAAATAACTTGCTGAAAATAATTATTATAATGTGGATCTTAAATTTTACTTTGATTAGTTTACTACTTGCACTGAACTACCGCAAAGAGATTTGTAGGACACAAATAGTGGACATTTTCTGCAATAATCCATCTTTGATGAAGCTGGTATGTGAGGACACACAGGCAAATAACTACTATGGACTGTTTGTAATGACTTTTTTTGATGGTCTGTCTCTGCTGATAGTGGTTTTCACATACATCCAAATTTTAATCACTGTTGTGGTTAAAAGACAGTCTGATGCCAGAAGTAAAGCAATTCAGACCTGTGGTACACACCTAATTGTTTTCTTATGCTTTGAGTTTAACACATTCTTTGCATTTATTGCTCACAGATTTGAGACAGCATCCCCAAGCTTACGAAGGGCCTTAGGTGCTTCTGCCGTGATATTTCCTCCAATACTTAATCCTCTAATATATGGACTGAAAACAAAAGAAATTAGAGAGAATTTTATTTTCTTTTTCCATAAGGTCTTCCCACGAAATCAGAAAAACAAACTCAGTGGGGTGAAAAATTAAAATTGCAGTAAAAAAAATGGTTATATTCCACC